CCTACCCCCCTCAGACCCCCTCACCCTTACGTCTCTCTCACCTGTTCATCAGAGACACCTAACCTCGTCGTCCTCCGCCGCCTGCCGCCGGCCGAAAATCGCCTCCGCCGGCGGCGATCATCCAAACCACCTGAAAATTACACCACTTCTTCATCTCATCTTCCTCGTCACGATTCTAGCCTTATTTCTCCTCGAATCCCACCCCAAAGCTTCGAATATTAGATCGAAGTTTTCCGGCCATGACACAACTCCGTCCAAACCACCCCAAATTAATACCACATAACCGCCTTCACCTCCCCGTTCCATATCTGCCATCGGTTTCTCTCAAACATCACCCAAACGTCTCAAATAATTCAAACCCTAGCGCCGCAACCNGCTTAAACGAGGTATGTATGGCTAACTTTGACCTTTGTAAAATCACCTTGTTTGGTGTACGAATATTTGGTATGTGATATCTACATGGATTATGTGTGAAATTCTTGTGATTGGTATGATTTGAGTGTTCGTGGTTAAGTCTCCCGATATAATGGTGTAAGTAATTGGCAATAAACCAAATGTGTGATTGGCGACTACCAGCTCCAAAATCTGCACAGAAAGTGCAGAGTGCAGTATCAGTACAACCGACCCCATGTACTGGTAAGTGGCAAGCCTAACCTCAACGAGGTAGTGACAAGGCTACGGCTGGGCAATCACAACATAACCTGTATACAGTATGTAATAAAGCAGAAAGAAGTATGAAACAAAATGAAACAGTAACTTACAAGGAAAGAATTCAAAACTCTGGTATCTCATCAGTACCCAGCTATAACCAATCCTTAAGTGTACTTGCACAGTAGAAGAAAGATACATAAACACATAAATTGATGCGGCGCGCATCCCGATACCACCATATACTCAATATCATATGAATATTCACCCTTATTACTCCATATCAATCGACCTTTATTCCTCCTGTTGCGGCGTGCAACCCGATCCCACCGTACAACTAGTACTTCACCCTTATTTCTCCTCTACA